TGACTAGCACAGCTCAGGATCTCTTACTGGGAGCCTGGCTGCCAACTAAGCAAGGGAGCACCAGTGGAGCGAGCTGGCTGTGTTTAAACAGTCATTTCACTACAAAAAGGAGCAAACTGCATCTTAACATTTCTCAGACTGAATAGGCAGAAATGGTTCATGTAGAACTGACATTAACAAGAATATAATCATTGCATCAAGAACGGAATCATTGCACATCTTTAGACGGCAATTTTTAGTGTAGTTGATTAATATTTTTACTTTGTACTATGAATTGAAAAGAAGAAAAAAAAGGTGCAAAACAGGATGTTTGACTAGTGAGTGACACATGGTGTATAAGCCATGTCTCATGAAAAGTGAGAATAAGTAGCACAGAGTCAGCTGTAATAATTTTGAAGATATCCATGACGTAGCTGTTCCATTAAAATTTGGATTAAAATCACATTTGCATTTCATTTCCTCCAGTCTTTATCCTGCTCTTGATTAGTTTTAAGAGCGGTTGATGGTCTTGTGATTTGCAGATTTTGCATTTTGAATTTTGTGTACATGGCCTGGAAATTTATGTGAAATTGTGCGTTTGATCTTTGACCTCTGTTTACTACAGTCCTGATTTGCCACTAATTTGACAGCAAGCCATAAGGGCCTACTGTAAACAAGCTGCTCACTTTACATAGCTATGTTTGGCTCCTAAATGATGAGGTATGCACGGAATATACTTTGGGTACTGCAGCCTACTAAAGAAATAATAAAAACCACATCATCGCTTATTTTCTCCAGGTAACGTTTACATTTGGAGAAAATAAGTTGAATGCCTAATAGAGAAAATACGATTCTTATTCATCTTAGGTTGGTTTGTTTTAAATTGTTCTTTAAAGTATTCAAGAACTCAGACCCACTCTTTTGAAGTCAGCAGGAGCTTTGCCATTGATTTCAAAAGGATCAGGATTAAGCCTAAATTGCAAGGTCTAAAAGGCAAAAATGAAAATGTCTAAAGTCTACAAATCTCTCATTGATCCATCATTCAGAGAGGAAGGACAAAAGTCTTCTCTGAGGTCTTTAAAGTACATCTTGACTCCAGGACACCTGGATTGCTGTTTTTCTTGTATTTGTAGACTTCAAGGTGGAAAGCAACTTCCAATCAGAACTGTAATTGATAGCATATGAAACAGGACAGACTTGTGCCATGGACTTGTAAAGCTCCTGGGAGAAGGGAGATGAAAGCTGTTTGTTATAATCAGCAAGCTGTCTGCACAGGTGGTTCTGTGCTACACTGCACAATATGCCCTGCCTGTAGCCTCCCCACAGAAGATTCCCTTGCTCACAGCTTCAGGACTTCAGATATCACTTCACCTTACATTGCCAGAGGTCACCAGAGGCTTCTAGGCAGTCATCTCTGGGAAAGGTATAATGAAAAGCAACCAATGTGATGCTGGCAAGCAGGACCATTGGATAGCAATGGGAGATCCAGCAAGACTTCCATGAGAACATACAGTCTTTGGCAACATTTCTGAGCATCTTGCACAAGTATAGCACTTTGCTGCACTTATAAGACCACAGCAGCCATGTTCTCTGGTCAAAGTCATTTYCTTGATTCTGCACCAGCCAGCTGGGAACATCCACCCAGTCACCATAAGCAGTGATTTACCCTCCATCACCCAGAGCTYTGTCCTCACAGTAGATGGCTGTGGACATATCCTGGGAGAAGGGCTACTATTTTCTTCAGCAGAGAAGAGAACCTCTTTCACGTTCTGGCTGAGGAATTGTTGTTAACTGTGACCAACGTCCAACAGTCAAGGATCTGGGTCTTAGCTAAGAAAGAGCTTATCTACAGTGACAAAGTGTAGACTCAAAGTAGTGAAGGGGCATGGACCAGCAAGAAAGTCTTTCCAGAAGCATTCCAGAGCAACCATGGTGAATGTTCACTGTAACTCCAAGCCCTACCTAACTAATGTACATCAACACATACATCAACAGGGAGCAAGGTCATTTGAGAGGAGACCTATGCTAGACTAGAACTGTGTTCTGTGCTTCTGGTAACCAGACTATTTATTCCCCTCCTGATCAACTTTGTGCAGTTTCCAGTTTGCTTTTGTTTGTACATTGTTTTTCATAAGTATTTTTGTACTTTTCTTCTGTGTATAATGTAAATTTGAGACTGCATTTCCATCATGCTGTTTTTAGAAGCCACCAGAAATTGTACCTGCAGAAGAGAAAAAAAAAAGAATTTGCTAGGTGCAAGTACAATTAATAAAGGAAATTTTTTGGTATTATGAACCAGAGTATTTCTCTGGTCCTTTGGTCATCTCACTGGCAGTGAGCAGAAAATTGTAGCACAGCTAAGTTCTGCTGGAGAAGTGAAATAATTTTTTCAGTGAAAACATCCTGCAAAGTCCCCAACTTCTGCCTCTGCTCCATAGGGCTTTTAAACCCTAGACCCATTTACACCATTTACACCCCAAGTACCTGTACACAAATCTACTCAATGTCACTTGAAGTCTGAAAACCAGCCATGCACATCTGTAGGGATGTAGCTTTTACTGATTTGCTTTTAGTAATAGAGGGTGGCAATTGAATAGAAACAGCTTCTAAAACACTGTTTACTTTCTTAAGAGGGCCATCTTACGATCCAGAGAAAGGTCAAATTCATGTGAATAACTTTAGGCTATTACATATGCAAGGCAATCTGAGATTTTTAATAAATAAAGCATGCCATAGAGGTCCCTAGAGTGTACATAAGACAGAGTGGGTATGTCGGGACCCAGTGTGGAACAGTGATCCATCACTGCTAGACCAAATTCAAAGCCAATTCAACAAAAGCCTGTCACAGACATCACTGCAGAAAATCTGCTCCGATAGGTTTCTTATGCAGCAGAAAATCATATCACACTTGTATTTCAGGCAGTGGACCAACAAGAAAGAAGCAAAACAAGACATATCCTTGAAAGTTATTTTCAGCTGCTCCTTTCCTTGCACTGCCCTATGCTCCTTCTCAATCTTGTACCAGTCTGGGCCAGAAAGAACCATGCTGCAGAGGTCGTTAGCAGTCTGGTTAGRGCTGCAGTGGCTTTTGGCTACAAAAAACACCTTCAGACATCAAGCTCGGAAAGTGTCACCCTCTTTGCTCCCTATTTTGACCTGGGACAGAAGTGATTTTGATGAAGGAATGGGAGAGCTTTTCCAGTGCAGCAACCTTTGACAACCAGTTGCTGCTGCTTTTCCTCTTCGTCCCAGGATTTGCTATCCCATAAGTGCAAATTGAGGATGACAAATAAGAACATTACCCTGGTGTTCCAGCTAAAATAATCCGCCTTGAAGTAGCTCATGTTGACAACTTAACTTGTCAGCAGACTTCCAGTTTAGCACCCCAGTTGGAAGAATGGGCCCATTCACACATCCCTCCAGCTATTGTTTCAGCCCTCTCTAGACCCAGGCAAGCATTGCTGCAGCAGTTTACACTCCACTTCCACTCTAAAGGGTTTCTTTTTTCCGACCATAAACTAAATTGCCTAGAAATCTTTTTTTTTTTTTTTTTTTTTTTTTTTTTTTTAATGTAAGCTCAGGCTCTAGAATATAATTATTCAATGCTGTAAAAATGAGCTGCAGCAATTTACATAGCCATGAAGCCATGAATGTACATAGGTGCACACGGCTGCAGCTACTCCCAGTGTTTACAGAGGACTCACTGGAGTTGTGATCACAGAAACCAGTATTTCAAGTTAGACCACACACATGAACAAAACTTTTCTTGGTGTAATGCAAGGTYTCACACTTTAGGGTGTTACATCACCATCTAACTGAAGCAATGCCTCATCCTTTCTGCCTTTCCCCTATCTCAGCTCACCTTCTGCCTGGGTTCAGATACCATCCCTGTGGCTAATGCATTCGTTGTTTACATAGGAAAGCAGGAGATTATTGATTTAACTTCAGCTTCTTTCCTGTAATTACGTGCTCTTCCCCTTTTCAAGTAAGTTAATCATGCCAAGGGACTGCATCCTYTTTCCCTCTGCAGGCAGCTTTGCTGCTGCTTGTTTCTGTTAGCCCAAATCTCTCTTGGTCTGCTGGAAGTTCACTCCTGAGCCTGCTCTCCTGCTTGCCAACCTGTCCTCCTCTATGGGTAGAGCTTGTTGGACAGCTGGGCCATCAGAACCACTGAAACTGAGCATTGAATCCCTTTTCTTAACTTAAATATAAAGGCAGAAGAAAACTCTGCTGTATATATATGTGAGGTATATATGCAATATAATAAGGGCCTATTGACCCTCATCTGCTAAAGGCATTGTAAGGGCTTGGGACATTTTCAAGCTCACCTGATCAACACTACAAATTAAGATAGCCTAGTAGTTCCAAGGTACAGTTTTATGAGCTATTAGATTAAAAGCAGCTCAAGCAGCTATCCTGTCCTGAGCCCAAAGATGCAGGCGCTGCATTTTTGCCCTATAATTTCTCTGAATGTCCACTTCTGTTCCCCATGTGTTTCTCCAGAGTTCCTAACTTATGAGCCCAAGTATTTTGCTCCCTTTAAGGAGTTTTTTTCAGTTGTTATTTCTCCTTCCCTCCCCTAGAGATCTTAAGTGATCAAATCAAAACTAACAGAACAATTGTACGAAGCCACAGGATGAAAACAAACCCAGTGCCTGAACTCTCTGCAAGTAAATGGTGCAGGAAACACAGATAAAGATTACCTGACAGAAGCAAGAATTTAGGTGAACAACTACATGACTACGGGTCTCCCCTCTCCTCTGCCCAAGTCTTGCAAGCTGGCAGTGAGGAATGAACAATTTGGCTGTTAGATTTTGGCCCTGATTTGAAGGAGTTAAATTCCCAGGCTGCCCTTTCTGAGCAGGGTGGGGCATGGGGGAAGGTAGGGGAAAAAAAAAAAAAAAGGCACCTGAATGCCCAGGAAGGGAGAGGAGCTGCAAAGCCTGCTGCAAACCCGCTTCCCTCTCCTATGTTCCTTGCCACAAATACTCCCGAAGCGAGCGGAGGCCTGAGGGTGGGCGATGGGCACCCTCCCCGCATGGGAACCTGCCGCCGGGAATGTCACCTTTGGGGGCCCGGGCACTGGGAACGGGCCCCTCTCTGGCCCTTGGTACCGCGCCGTCAAGGTAAGCACCGGCCCCACAGCCTGTGGTGGGACTCGGCCACACATGGGCTCCAAGAGAGCTATGGAGAGGGTGTCACCATTTCAATTTGTGTCTGTGGAGAGCCCCCTTTGCTGCTCGCACCTACTCCCTCCTGTCCAGCTGCCCGAATCGCTGCCCAGAGGGAGCAGCCCTCCTGGGGCAGGGAGCAGCTCTGCCCCGAGCTGGAGCTTTGCTGGCTTTTGTCACCCGTGTTTTCGTCGTTGTCAGTGCTGACAGTGCATTTGGTATTAGGGAGACTGGAAAACAGAAACCGAAGCGGCCTCCACAAACTAGCAAGTGGAAGCATCTGCTAACAATAAAAATGAATTGGAGGCTGATTAAACTCTTTACCTCTTCCCTGCTTTTTGCCTCACCAACTAGAAGGCATTGGCAGATGCTCGGCATTCTTGTTTTTTGCTGCTTGAGAGGCATACCGCTTTTTTATGATGCAAAGCATTGGTATAAATTGTGCAGAAAATGGCTTGTAAATTACTGCTCTTTCTGTGAGTGGCCCTGGAGGAGGTTGTAGACTCAAGAAGGTCCCCAAAACTTGCCCCTGTGGAATGTGCACCCATTACAAAGTGGATATCCAGATGGCAGGAGGCCTTTTTCAGGTCTCTGTTCTTAGGGGATAGGAAAACTGTGCATTGCTGTCCTGGTGTCCCCGGGCAAGGGGACTTCTGCTGTCTCAATGCAGGATGATGGCCACCACTGAAGCTTCTCTAGGCCAGACTCAAGGCCAGAGTCATGCTCTGCTATAGGAAGCATGGTCAGAGGGGTATCAGCTTGGGAGTTAGGTCCCAGGGCTGGCAGTGCTCACTGAACTCTTGGGGGAGGCACAGAGTCACTTGCCTGTGTCTGAGAACCAAGTTATGGATTTGCTTGGAGGCCTGGATTTTCTGTGCTTTGGTTTACTTCCTAAAGAGCAGCTTTGGAGGAGGCAATGGGTCATGTGTTGGGGTGAGCTTGCATTTTCCTAGGAGTTATTTTGTGCATCCTCATTTTCACATTTTACTTTTTGGGAAGTATCAGAAGCCATTTCTTCCTCCTATTCCTGAAAAATGGACTGTCCTGGATGGGTTAATGATCAGCCCAGTTTCAGGTCTGAGACACCCATGTGGGCCTGGCAGATCTGACACGAGCATTGAGGGCAACCTGAGCAGTTGGCCTGAGCTCTAAGGGACACCTGCAGGCAGGGAGCTCGCTGGAAGCAGTTAAAGTGCCTGTGCCCACATGGCTGTGTATCTTAATGCCTCATAGTGCTGGCACTACATACTTTTTTACCCGTCAAAGGGGGATATATGGTCATGAGATAAGGGCTAGAGGCAGGATTCCCCTTGGCATCMCTGAGTTGGGTTGGTGCTGTTCAAGAAGCTTTATACCTGAAATCCAGTGAAAAAGGATCCTGCACTCTGACAGCCTGCCCTGACCAAGCCCCACATTGCATCGGGATGTGAATCTGTTCAGTGATGTTGTAAAATTTGTTGTAATATGCACTTAGTTCACTTGACATATATCCTGACAAACTAATATTACTGTAGTATTTYGGGTCTGCTGGAGTAATGAACATGTGGATCTGGTCTGCTTAACAGAGAGTATATGTAATTGTTCAGGTTTGATCATCTTTTATTTCCCTCGGTACTTCTCAAATGTTGTTTATTTATTTGCAATATGGTTGTTAATGGGCAAAAAACATTTTGCAAGTTTAGCTGAGATTAGTAACTACAGTATTACTCTTGTTTTGACTTTGTCTCAGGGATGGAGAAAAGAGCTGAGGGGGAATAATCAATAAAAGATCAGATGTAATAATTCCTCTGTAATTGAGCATTTCACACAGCTGTTGTTGTGTATAGTCACTGTGTGTGGCTGTTAAAGTGTGGAAGCTGAGCCAGAGGGGAAAATTCATTTTACTTCTTTTTCCTCTTTTGCTTGTTCCTTAATAAACTCAGAATTATTACTGGCAGCCCAGACACTCACCTCAAGAGATTGTTTTATTTCAGGGGTTGGGGTAATAAATCATTTCACTCCCATCCTTGAGGTTTAAAATGTTGACAGCTCCTTCAGATAGATCTACGGCCTTCTGTTCCATGACAATATATCATGGTCTGTCACGGGCCTTTCGCACAGGTGGAGAGTCTGTGCGGCAAAGAAACCTGATCCTTGGTGTGCTCTAGTATGAGCTGCTATCAGGTGCAATGAGAAATCCCATGGATTAAACATGTCGTTGTGAGGTCTTTCTGTGCTGCCTTCTGTTGTGTACACAAAATCTACGTTTCACACAGAGCAGCACAAGGAAGGCTTTAGTGCCTTCTGTCAGGATGAACATCTTCAGAGCTTCAGCTGACCTTGGTTTGCGAAGAGCTCAATGCTGCCACGTGGTGTCTGTGGGTGCAAAGCCTCAGCAGAGGGAGGGCATGCTGTGATGCTGGTTTCTTTGGCGGCAGCATGGTCCCTGCTGGTGTTCCTACCCATGTAGTGCTGCTGCCATTGGGCTGTGAAAGACCCAGTGYGCGAAGTCAGGGAGCTGCCACCATGGAGAAGAAGGTTCCTCTAAAATCAGCAGGGATCTCTTCAACTGGCACTACTACCAGAGAAACGGCCATCACATTCCACAAATTTCATCAGGGAAAGCTCTAGAGTAAGTCAAGGTGTCCACATAAACATCGGTAAGAGCCATGAGGCTGACATGGACTTCCAAGTGAGGCAGCTTGTTCCTGCAAGCAGTGGTCATCACACATTATTACATTATTAAAATGTGAAAGGCAAATGGTGTGAAACTCCTGTTTCTTTTCTCCACTTCAGATGGTTTTTTTTTTTCCCTTTTTTGTTTTTAATGCCCTTTCCCTGGTCTCTGTAGGGTTCTTCGGGCTGCAACCTTCCCTGATAGACTGCAGATGTTAACTGTTTTAGGTTAATCGTAAGAGCAGTCCCCAAGCATGGGGAAGGTAAAGACAAATAGGCTTCATTTGCAAAGACTGCAGGGGAAAGTTATTTTCCTCCTCCAGCTCCTTATTCCAAAATTACTCAATGAAAGCAAAGAAGGGTATGGAAACATTAACTCTTCTTCACCATGTATAACCTCCTTGATCTTTACCTGTCGGGTTTCAAAAGGACAGATTATTTCATTTTCTTTTATGGTATGAAGCGGATGTGTATGGGGCAAAAATGCATAGGGTTTCCTTACGTGAGAAACGTATATTATTTTCAGCCCTGACAAATAAAAGGCTAGGAAATGAATATTGTTCAGCCTTTAAAAAACACCTTTTTTGAATCAATAGTGGGAAATGCAAAAAGCAAATACTACACACACACACACACACACACACACACACACAAAACCCCACAAAACTAAAAAACAAAGCATTTAATGAAAAAGCATTGCAAACTGTTGCTGTCAGTGCTGGTGCACGCTCTTCCAGTGCTGTTGCCACTGTTGGGAATTCAGCTCCACTACTCAGTCCCTGTTTCATTAAGCTCTGCCAGAAGGAGATGTGTTGTTCTGGATCAGAAATGCAGGACTGTCAGCCGGGTCAGCTTTCCCCCCAGTCTTCCAGGTTGTCCCAGGGCTGTAATGCTCTCTGATTAGCATTAGTGTGAGTGAAATGCTGACAAGGGAGAACAAAATAAAGCATAGGTTAGAAAGGATCGCCTATATCTTTTATACAGCCTTCCGGTATCCGTTCTGCCATGTCAAACATCAGTTGTCCCTGCAGATGTGAAGATGGAAATTAGCACTTATACAGACTCCAGGTTATGGAAAGATCAGCTTCTAGGTAGTAACTTACTCACTGGAAAGGTAAAGGAAATAGTTATAGGAAAGCCTTAGCTTTGCCTGCCTTCCTTGCAACGTACCGTAAGCGCAATTTGCAAATTCCTCAGGGAGATGTTGCATTTTTTTACAATAAGAGGTGGTAGGGATGGTGGAGCTGGTTTGGGAGCAATGCTGTGGGGTGGGGAGCAGCACAAGGGCTGTTGCTGGCCTGAGGAGTGATCAATTTGTCTGGTTAATACCCATGACTACTCTGAGTCTCCAAAGCTCTTAATATCTGGCTGCTGTGTTACTGGCAGACCTCCATCACCCTATCTGGGTTTCTCACACCAATCTGGAAGGAGCGAGGGGATCCCCAAAGTCCAGCACAGCTGCATGGGAGGCACCCATGGAGGACAAGGCACAGCTCACTCTTTAGGGCAGCAAACCAGCTCTGTGCCATATTTTGAGCTCTGAGCACACAGACCCAAAGTCAACGGTACTGGTGGAGGAGCCCATCTTCCAACCTTACCGGGCACTCCTGTGTCCTCAGGCTTGCCAGCAGAACTGCTTGGCAAGYCTGGCAGCAAGCTGGGGCTGGTGAGCAAAGCCCTTTTATTTCAGCCCATGAATCCGCACTCATTTTGATGGGAACTGACTCCATCGTGTCCCACTGCACAAGCAACATGTGAGAAACAAATGCCCACACGCCGCTCAGGGGTGTGGTGAGCACCAGCAAGGCCAAGTGCCTGATTACCCTGATATTATGTTCTCCAAATCTCAGTTTTCAGTGTTCTTTTCCTCCCTCCTTTGGTGGAATGAGTTTGTTTTTCAGTTTCTCTGAGGAACTGTGCATTTTTTTAAAAAATGATTAATGTGACAGTGAGTGAAATGGAGGCTTTTTAATTATGCTAATTTGGTTTAAGAGTTTTGCAAATGTTAATTTGGAGATTTCTAGGCAGTACCCAGCCCTATAAATCTTTCTATTAGTCAGGAAGTGGGGGAGTGCAGAAGGCAAAGAGCAACGAAACCTGAGGCACAAATTCAACATATTCTGCCTAATGCAGAAGTGAGTTCTGTTTTGAACTACTTTAAAATACCTTTTTTTTTTTTTTTCCCCCCCCAGGAAGTGTTTTGGGCATTCCATTTAGCCATTGTGGTGCTTGAAATRCAGACAGTTGACATCAGCACAGAGATTCAGAGCAGCAGGGTTAGATTTACTATAGGCAAGCAGAGGAGACCAAGAGCTCCCCTTCCCTTAGAGCAGGAAACACCAGGGTTGGGACAAGCCTGAACCCTGTCCCTGGACTGGAGGGTGGGTGCCTGGCTCAGTACAGTGCGTTCGGACCCCTGTCTGCTTAGGGCTTGGGACACCAAGTCTTTGCTGTGGGTAGGCACCAAGCCATGCAGCAGAGCTGGAGAAGGAATATGTGTCTTTAACCACTGATTTACAGAGGAGGATAATTCTCTGGCAGASGAGTGTTGTGTTTCCAACTAAGAGTGATGGGGACACAAGGCTTGAAAGGCAGCAAGCAAGTAGGAGCCACTTTATGCATGCTAAGGCAGCCAATGGGAAAGGTGAGATTCCAGTCCCAGATGCCTAGATTTTCTGAGGGTGGTGGATTGCACACTGCTGGGGTACAGGAAAGATCCCAAGCCAATCCAGAAACCCTCCAGGGCTGCAGATACTGGAGCTGGGGCTCCTTTGTCCTGCCTGGGTCTTCAGACCTTAGGGAAGCAGAGACATCTCCCCTGGTCTCCCCTGCTCTCCTCCGTATCTCATCCCTCTTTCATTCTTGTCCATGCAATGGTCCAGTTTCAAGCAGGAAGGAGCAGTCTGTAGACTTGTAGTAGAGAKGTAGTACCAGCTCAGGAGAGTTTGAAACTAAGTACCTCACAATCTAATTAAATACTCCGCCCTTGGGACTATTCTGYAAATATTAAACATTAAGTTAAGGTGCCCATGGCTGCTGTGTTGATTTTGGTGTCTCACAACCTTACTTTGGAGTTACAAGGTGACTGACTGCCTAGGCAAACACCCGTTTGCCAGTGAGATTTCCTGACATGGCTGAGTTGATGTTACCTGCTGGGGGATGGTGTCGTGTTCTGTCCTCAATCTGTATTTCTAGTGTTTTGCTTGTCCCAGTTCACTGGTGAGCCAGTGAAATTGTTTGGAACTCACTCACTCTTTTTTTTTTTTTTTTTTTTTTAA